TATATATATATATATATATAGATAGATAGATAGATGGGTGATTCTCACGAAACATGACAATTCACAGTTTCTTGTTCCAAGATCTAATACTATACTACTAAAAGAACTTTTAAAAAGAAAATATAATAAATAGCATTGCTGTTAGCATTTTAAAATGACTTTGCATTAGCACTGACTGTTTTGTATAGTTAAAAAATTTAATTGAATATCAAAATGTCATTTTCCTGGTATGTCATTTTCCTGGTCCAATAATAACTAGCTTCAAAACTTCCCATACATTTTTCAATATCTAATTTTTTTAATCTTAACCGCTGTAAGCATTTCCAGAATATATGCTGAGAGTATTATTTCCAAAAACTTTGTTGACAGTAATTTTTTCTGTCAATAATTTATTTGTCACATGAAAATCTGTCATTTTCCTGGCGACTTTTTTTTAGTAATTTATAAGCAAAATAGATAGCTCCAGCAATCAATATCTTAGGTTAAGAGATTGATTAGAATACCATCCTATCAGAACATGTCTAATTGCAGGAATAAAGAACTAACTTTCTGAGTCAACATGTATTTCAAAAATTTTACTAGGTGAGTAGGTTTTTATGTTGTCCTTTTCCTGTCCTCTTGAAATCATTAATAATATAAACTATTTACATTTACCTTAGTTATTTCAAGAAATCCTGATGTTTTCTGCGGAAAGTAAACATCTTAGGCCGAAATGCTAAATTAAAGTAATGTTAAATGCTGTAAAATGGCAAAATTGTCATTATTTTGGCTTATAAATTCCAGGACATTAACACAGTTATAATAAATTTTTTTAGCACTATAATGTAAAGAGGGAAAGCAAATATTAACCTACTACCCAGTTTATGAAAGATTGTAATATATTCGTATGTAATTAAAGTTATTTATTTATTTAATGATTGATTAATATACACAATTTTATTCTGTACATATCAACAACAAAAAGATTTTTGATTCTTTCTACACCGGATAAAATAATTAATTTAAACAAATCATGGTAAATCTAACGCAAAGGCTTTAGGTTATATTTTTTTCCAAAACACAGATAGTTAAAAATATGAAAGATAAACTAAGAACATCACCGTACAATTTAATTCTGTCATAGTCTTTAAACGCTGCTTGGATGTATAAATTAAAAAATGTAATAAAGTTGTAAAATAAAATGATTTGAAATATTTTAAACTTAAATAATATTATAAAAAAATTCCTGATGTAAATTATTATTAAATTTATTTTAATGTAAATTTTTATAAAATTAATTAAAAAATTCCTATTAAGATTATCATTTTCATTGTAAGGGAAGTTTTTGAAGTCGTTCATAAAGATCTTGAAGTTAACTTTATTATTCGTGCTGACAAACAGACTGCTAATCACTTTAAGTGGCCACGGGAAAAAAGGCTTTGTCAAAATTTCTTAGAATATCACAAATTCAAAAATATCTGCTCCTTACCCACTATCTTCTAGGCATTTTGCTTCCTCTGAAAGCTTCAAGATTAATGAAATTTTGCAAAATTTTTTGTCTTCTTCGTTTTAACTGTTTCTTTCAAAGTAAAGTGTAGTAAAATTAAAAACTATCTCATTACGTGTGTTACTCTCTCACTTTCATTATACTTAACTAATTTATTAAAATTGTTCACAATAATTATTTTTGGAATTTATTTACATGAAATTTTAAAATTAACTTTTCAACTTTGTCTTTTTTAAATTTCTTAAGTTGAGTTACTTACTATTAGCTTAAAATGACTGTTTTCTTAACTTCTAATATGTCATTTTTCTGGCCTTCTAGTCATTTTCCTGCCATTCAAAATTTGATAAATTTGTATTTTATTTTTTTTTTCTTGAGCAAATATCAATAAACTACATTGCTGTCTGTATAATATTAATAAATGTAGATAAATAAATATACGAAAATAATTTAGATTATTTTGATGACTTTAAATTTAAAGAAATTTTTTTTCTTCCGAATTGTCATGTTTCCAAAGAATAACCCACATATACTAGGGACTAGGCTTTTAAATTATTCTTGAAAAATTTCCTGTTCGTGTAAGTTTATTTGAATTCGTTACTCGTTTTAGAGATTTCGTTTCATGTTTTGTTCTGTTTTTTCTTTACATTTTATTTTCTGATTTTACGTCATATTTTTGCTTAATGTGTTCTATTCTATTTTGCTTCTAAAAAAAAACATTTTTTTTTTTTGAGTGCTCCTCATATATATTTTGCTTTGACTACATTTATACAATAATAGAAAGCACTCCTTTTTGCGGATATAATCGTAGGAGCTGATTAAATGATTATATATTTTTTTCCCTGGATTTTTATTAATTTTTTTAAGGGTTTTTTTTCCGATTTTTCTTTTTTTTATTGTTCTGTAATTGTATATATATATATATATATATAATGAATTGTATGTGTTATGAATTTTCATTTACAATGTTATTAATTAGTTCATGTTTGTAATTATTGTATCATATGTAATAAAAGTTGATCATCAAAATACCGTGTATGCCCTTGAACATGTTAGGAGGGGGAATGTATTATTATGATGTGAATNATATATATTAATAAAAACTACTATTTTTAAGTATTTAAGAGCAAAATTAATTTTTATGAAGCACATACAAATGATTTACTTTAAAAATGTTTTTTGACCTTAAAATGGCTAAAAGAAAGAAAAAGAGCAATTTGAAAAGTTCATGATATTTATTTGTGGTTTCATCAATGGGTGATTGAGATAGAAATGGGTAAATCAAATTTAAATTCCAAAAAATTCTCGTTTTATTCAAATATACACTATTTTTTACTAGGCTTTTAATTCTGTGTTTCAAATTGTAATTTTTTTAAAACTTTTTTTCAGTTAAAATTCGAATTATTTCTCATAAATCTTATTGAAATGAAATTTCAAAAAAAATTTCTTTGATTGTTTGTGGCCTTTGTTTTTACAAGTTCAAACTGCAATCATTCATGACAAAAATGTAATAATCTACTAATGCTTCGTTTATTAATATACATAAACTAATGCTGATGATTTTTTTTTGTTGCTTGTTTTGTTATTTCACTGATGCATTTGTTACGTAATTATTGTTTTGTGTACTATCTTTTTGATAAAAAAATTATAAAATACAAAGTTTTCCGTTTGCATAACTTAATTAATAACAAATAAAAATTTAATATTTGTGAAATTATGTAAAAATTCAATTCACACTTTTGAATTAAAAAATGACGAATTTTAGCATAAATAGATGTTTTTGCAACATGTTTTTAAATTTATTACCTTATAACATTTGATGTTTTGGGAATAAATAATATTTAACACCTACCATAATTATGA